AGCCATTAGATTACAGGTCCTGCCTTTTCCTGGGGGGCCTCCTCCCCCTCCTCTTCTGCTGTTGGCCTGCCCCCGGTGGGGCCCCCAAACTCCTCTTCTAAGAAGTCAATGTCCAGGTCGGGGTGCCTCTCACGGAGGCGTGACATCATCTCCTTCGCCGCCAGGAGGCCCAGTAGTTGGCGAAGTCGTCGTACTCAGGCGTATTCTCGAAATTATCCTTATAGTTCTGGACCGCCACTTTGCCAACGGTCTTCGCCTCAGCCCTTAGCGAGTTCACCTCCTCAGCCTGGGCCTCGATGATTTTCTTCTGCTCAGCCCTCTCTTTATTTGCCTTCTCCAAGGCTTCGAACGTGAGCCTCTGGTGGTCGTTGGCCTGATCCACCCTCTTCGTCAGGGCTGCCACCTGGGAAACAGACTCGTCAAGCTCATTCTTCAACTGATTGACGTGAACCTCAGCCGAGTCCAGCTTCGTGGCAGTAGTAACCCACTTCTCCTCCACCTCCTCCAGCTCCTTTTTTGCCTTCTCCACCTCGGCCTCCCAGTTTGAAGAGGCCTCGACCCTCTTCTCCAAATCTTCATTCTTCTTTTGAAGGCCCGTCACCAAGTCTTCTGCCGCAGCGCCTATACGTAGGGCCCTTGCCACGCAGGCATTGTTTGCAGCCAGAAAGTCCTCGATCTCGCACGAGGCAGCATGGTTGGCCCAGTCTTCAGTCCAGTATTTGCTGTGGACTCTCGCAGCAGAAGCGGTCTCGGGGGGGAGCATCTCCAACACAGCCTCGGGGAGATCGTCGTCCTTGCTCCCCAAAAAATCAGTGGCCTTTTTCTTGGCCGGGGCAGTGGCAGGCTTCTTCTGCCTCTTCCTGGTCGCCCCCTCGGCGAAGTAAGTAGTAATAGGCACTATCGCCTGAGAAGGAGGTGGAGCCGCCACGGTGACCCCCGCTTCAGCAGGGAAAGGAGAAGCCTCAACAGTTGGAACAGGGGCAGAGGTCCCAGCTAGACCGGCCCGTCTTTTCCTTGGGGCGAGGGAGGGTCCTTCCTCCTCGCACTCCTCGGTAGGCTGCTGACCAGCCTTGCTCAAGGCTTGCAAGCGCTCCGACTGCTTTTTGTATGCACCCGAGCTGGTTTTCAGCAACTTGGCCTCCGCCACGCTCCG